TAGGATACATATATAATACGTATTATGTATTCTTATATGTATGTATATATAATATATGGAATTGAGTGTGTGTGGGAGGTGGGGTGTATGTGTATGCGTGTGTGTGCGTGTATACTCAGGGGTGCGTGCGTGTTTGTGTGTGTGTGTGTGTTTGTGTGTGTGTGTATGTGTGTGCGTGTTTGTGTTATTCAAATGTTTGCCATTGCAGCTGCTTCTATGATATCATTAGGATAGATATAAAATTAATAGCGTTTATGTGATCATCTGATGAGGGCAACTCTACGCAAGAAAAGAAATGTGTACAGATGAAAAACATAAAGGGAAAAGAAGAAAGGAAGGGAATATAGTATGGTAACCTTCGGAAAATTGTATAATATGCTTTATGATAATCGAAATAAGAATTTAAAAACATAACTAGAGGGAATATTAAATTATCATTCATTAGGGGGGGGGGGGGCAACAGAAAACAAAAGCGGGGAAGAAAATGGTGTGCTGGGAAGGGCTCTTTGAAAATCATTGGATAGGCATGATAATAAGGTCAATTAAAACCAAGCAAAATAACACGATCATCTCCTCGAAAATTACTTTGTAGCTTCGACGAGGAAAATCTTGTCTGGGAAAAACAAAAACTCAAGATTATACAGGTCAAGGATTGTTATAGCTATTTTAAAAAAACAAAAAAACGATTTTTTATTCGTCAGCTGTATCTAGATCATTATATCTGCTGGGCGAGATTTTTCTTTTCTTTTCTCGTTTTCAGGGATAATAATTTTGTCAACCAAACATCTTCCCCGCTTGTGTCTTCTTTTGTACCCCCTAATGAATTATAATTTAATATTCCCTCTAGTTATGTTTTTTTAAATTTCTTATTTCGATTATCATAAAGCATGTACAATGGATAGTTCAATAGTCGATAACGTGTCAGAAGTCAAAGTAAATATTATTGGTGATAGCGGGGAACTGCGCTGGTGAGCAAGAGGTATAGGAGTCACAACTTGTGGTTTGGGGGGGATTGTGCTTAGGAAAGATAATAATACTATCATCATGTTGGCAACCAGAAAAAATGTGTTCAACGTTTACGGTTTTGCAGGTAAAAATCATTCCTTCGCAAAGTTTTTCCTTTTTTTTTTTTCCTTTTTTTTCAAACGTCTCTGAACAGTTTGTTTCTACATGAAATATAAAATTCGGGTATTGTATTTATATCCCTGTAAAATTAGAAAAGGATTGAGAAAAATAACTGTGTATTGAGTTGAGTGATGGTAACCCACAGAGTAAAGTTTAATGTTAAACCTGATTGTAAAGCAATAGGCTGAATTTAAAACAAGAGATAAGAAACTGAGTCCAGTGGTTTCTGTCTTTTAGGTAGGTCATGTCTTCATGATAGAGAAAGGACGAAAAAATATGTATAGAGAGGCTACAATCTAATGAAATAACAGTCTTGATAATTGGCTAATGGAAGAGGTCTATTAAATTTGTACTTTTAGAATTTCAAGATGTACTTACCTGGGCAACCTATGGAATATTCGATACCGAAAATCCTTGCGCAATATTCCAACAAGTTTTAGAAAATTTCCCATGTACATTTTTTTTACAATAGGATTGGAAGAAAACCTGCGCAATTTTCGGCTGCCTTTCAGAAAGTTTTTGCTTGTATCGATAACATCAACGTTAACTTTCTAAGTTATTCCGTGGCATGAACGTTTAATAAGCGTCATCTCTGTCTGACACGAGAATATCTACTTCTTTTCGTTGACTATACAAACTACAAAGTGAGCTGGATTTTCAGGTGCTCACTCAGAATAATATCATGTAGGGGTAACATAGCCTCACCTCTTGAAATGCTGTTTGATCTCTCTCCTTGCGCAAACACTTGAAGCCTTTTCAACACAAATTGAAAGCCTTCAACAGATTTGCATCGAACTTTGATCACATCACTAAAACTATGAACTGTACAATTATAAGATTGCCATTCGTCAGTGTTTCTACCGTTCCATGTTTAACAAAAGAAAAAAACCTAGGCCTAGGTATGCTGTGCAAAGATAATGTTGTCTCGGTCGTTCATAAACGGTGCACATTCAATATAATTTATTTTTGACGCCGATAGAAGGCTACGAGATCTAGAGTTCTTTGGTGCGCATGCGAATGTGAAACGACAGAGAATACTATATTTTAAAAAATAATTAAAGAATACCTTTTTCAGGCCGATACCAATTTTAATAAAACAAACCAAAATCTGAATAATTTTACAACTTAGTACTGCAGCTCTAAAAACTTACCCATTCAGCGGTAAAAATCTAACACGACCCCCCCCCCCCCCTTCCAGAGATGTGTGTTTGTGTATATATAAATTATTCTCTTGGTTTTGAATGAATTCACTTGTTCACAGGTTAGCATCGCTGGATACGCTATTGGCGCTACACTCAATGATCCCAACACCCCCCCCCCCCTCATCTTCCCATAATAATTCTGCCACCTGCGACTTTTGAGAAAACTTGATTTTCGAATCCATTATATGCGGGTGGTTTTTCATTGTTTGTGTGTTTGTGTGTCGTTTTTTTGGTCGATGTTCTTCTCTCCATCCCAACAGCACAACAATGCATGTACCCTTGAATCAGTGGTAGGGCGAGCTAGAGTCAATTAATAGAACCTCTCAACCGCCTTCTGTGGTGTGGCGGTCAGGCGCCTCCCTGTCGCACGCAAGAGATTCGAGTTCGATTCCCGAGTAGGGAGACCATTTTTATTGAGTATCTCCGTCTTTCTGCTAGGATGATGTATCCCTCCTAGCCCAGGTTGGCCCAGACAGGAAGGGTCGGATGTCCGCCTCCTTAATGATCTAAATGTCAATGGAAGGGGGGGGGCGAAAAAACACCCACATTAATTAAAGAAAGAATTGCACTGTTTAAACGTTCATTATTCTATGAGGGGGAATCTTATCAGCTACATTTGCAAGCTAACCGTCCCGTAGTTCTTCTTTTCCAAGTATACGTGATCGTGGCATGTTGAGACTCTGAGGTCTACAATTTGAAAACGCGTGGCCAACGAGCCCAACAAGGGGACACATTGCTCGGATAGCTGGAGCAGTGCCAGGGCTACGACGGGATTATAGTCTCCACGAGAGTGTGCTAAAGGGAGAATAACCCATTTTCGTCCCCCAATTCTCATTTTTTGAATTTTGTCGTACCCGTTATCTTCCCATCCCTTTTCAGGAATCCCACATTGATTCGATTACTTATAGGTAGGCAAAGGTCGTACATAACATCGTTGTGTACGATCTTTGGAGTAGGTTACTGCAATTGCCATTCCGATTTCAAAATGGTGTTTAGGATGCGCGAAAGAAAATCATTGTTTATAATCACTTCAACAGGGAGGCGGAAGAATTGATTCGTGCTGGATGAAAGTTTCTTTTAAATATTTGCAGAACAAAATATGTTTCTGGTTAAACCGTTTCGATAAAAATCCTTGATATAAGACTTGTTAGAAATCTGTTAAATCCAGGGCATAACTCTGCATATTGTTTACAGTCTTTCTACAACTGACTCATGCGATGATTGGCTGAAATTTCCTGCAAATAGCAGAGATATAGTCTGGTATGTCACAGAATATCGCAACACCAGCACACCAGATAAATAGATAGAGACACAGAGAGATAGAGACACAGAGAGAGAGAGAGGGGGGGTGGGAGAGAGAGAGAGAGAGAGAGAGGGGGGGGGAGAGAGGTGGGGAGAGGGGGGAGAGAGAGGGAGAGAGAGGGAGAGAGAAAGAGAGATAGAGAGAGAGAGAGTGGGGAAGAGATGGGTGGGGGGAGAGAAGAGACAGAGAAAGGTTCGAATATGGGTATCGAAGGGTAATAGGAACATGGTATTGCAAACGTGGGGCGAACACGGGTGAAATTGCGGCGAAAGAAAGTGGAGCGAAAACAGGTACTGAAACAAAGATGTGGGACAAAAACGGGTGCATCGGTACTACTACTAGACCTTCCCGTCAAGTTTGAAGCAGGGGCACACTGGAAGGGTTTCAGCTCCCAATCGATTGAGTAGCGTCGGCCGTGCCACCCTCCCGTCTTAGAGGAAATCGTGGGCCAAAGAGGTGTTTTGGCGAAGGACAGTCCGCAGACTTATCTCACCTCAACCACCAGGTACCTGGTTTCCCTCCACACGGGTCCCACCTCACAGTCAACAGGGCGACCACTCTGTAGAATGGACGGCCTCAAATTTTTCTGCACATGAGGTCTGCCGTGGAAGAAGAGACAGAAGTAAAAAGAAAGGTATGAGAAGAAACAGATACATCAAGGAAGATGTCAAACATGGATCCCCGAAGGTTGGCGTCCATCCATGTGCAACACTATGTCTTTGGAGGGGTTTCACCACCTGCAGACGGGACAGTGGGTCTATTTATGTATCCCACAACGTGCACGGGGCAACAGGTTTTGCTTCCGAACTGAGCTTGTAGCCATCAAAGATTGATAATTCATGGCGTCAGCATTTTGCTCCACAGCCTCGCTATGCTGGACTTGGCTGAACTGCTCACCGGCATCTGGGGTGCGGTGATTAGCTCTTTGCTGTCTCGTGCAGGAGACAATGACAATGACAGTGACAATCTTTATTCGTCTTGCAGGGAGAAATTTGTCCTGGTAGTTTACAATGGCAGTAGATGTTTCAAAGTGTAGATGAACTCACGCATACGCACAAGACAGAACAACCCGCTCCGTAAAACATTCTCTCTCTCTCTCTCTCTCTCTCTCCCTCTCCCTCTCCCTCTCCCTCTCTCTCTCTCTCTCTCTCTCTCTCTCTCTCTCTCTCTCTCTCTCTCTCCTTTTTTCTCTGTTTCACTTGTGGCACTATGTGTTCAGTAACCTCAATGAAGTAGGTACGAATGAATTTCTATATCTGTCTGTTTTGCTTTTTTGGAAATGTATCGTTTTCTACGGGTTGATAATTGAAATTTCGATGCCAGTGGGTGGCAATGGTCACTTAGCATTAATTCCGCCTTTTTTTAGAACGTTTGTTTTATGCAGATATTCAAAGCTTCTTAGGTCTCTCCAATTGTTTTTTATTTCTTTCTTATCAACCTGTTCATTTTTATAATGTACTGTCTTCCCAAATTGCCACCATAGCAAGAGATACCAAAAATGTATCAAAGTTTCTATTGTGGTGGTGTAGAATATCTGAAGGATGGATAGATTCAGATTGAAAGACTTAAGTTTCCTTCAAAAGTACAGCCTCGGATTTACCTTTCTAACGATATTGTTTACGTGATTTTGCCATGTAAATTTGTTGTTGATTTTAAGACCAAGATATTTGAATGAATCATGTGATTTCAATTGTTTCTTGTTCAGTTACGAGTGGTTGGATTGTTGGTTTTTCTCCTCTAAAATCAAAAATCGTTTCCTTTGTGTTTGAGTTCGATTCCCGAGGGTCAAGATTTTTTTATCAAGTTTCTCGGTATTTCTGCTGGGATGTTGCATCCCTCTCAACCCGGGTTAGCTCTGACAGGCAGGGTCGGAAGTCCACACCCTTAAATTATCTAAATGTCGTCATTGGGGGCGTAAGAAATCAACCTAAAATTTAGAACATTACTTTAATTTTTGAAATACCCCCCCCCCCCTTTTTTTTTAAAACTGTAGACCAATTGACGATTACTGAATGACTAAGATAATAACAATGACAATGACAATATTTTTTTATATCTCGAAAGGAGAAATTTGTCTTGGTCGTTAAAAATGACAGTAGACGTTACAAAAGTTAGACCTAAAGGTGCACTCACGCAAACGCACAAGACGACAGGACATTAATTTAATGCCTTGTAAATACATGTCTCTCGTGCTGGGACAACCCGCTCCGTAACACATACACACACACACACACACACACACACACACACACACACACACACACACACACACACACACACACACACACACACACACACACACACACACACACACACACTCTCTCTCTCTCTCTCTCTCTCTCTCTCTCTCTCAGTTTCATTTGTAGCGCTGTGTGTTCAGTAACTTCACTGCATTTGGTACGAATGAATTTCTATATCTGTCTGTTCTAACTTTTTTGGAAATGTATCGTTTACTGCAGGTCGATAGTTGAAATTCCGATGTCAGTGGATGGCTATGGTCACCTATGATGGTCACTTAGCATTATTTCTGCCTTTTTTAGAAAGTTTGTCTTGCGCAGATATTCAAATTTACTTAGGTCTCTACCAGTTGTTCTTGATGCCTTTCTTATCAACTTGTTTATTTTATAATGTGCTGCCTTCCCAAATTGCTACCATAGTAAGTGATACCAAAATGTATCAAAGTTTCTTTGGTGGTGGTGTAGAATATCTGAAGGCTGGATGGATTCATATTGAAAGACCTAAGTTTCCTCAGAAAGTAAAGCCTCTGATTTACCTTTTTAACGATATTGTTTACGCAATTTTGCCATGTAAATTTGTTGTCGATTGTAAGACCAAGATATTTGTATGGATCTGTGATTTCAATTGTTTCTTGTTCAAATACTTGGTCAAATTTTTTTAATAGGTTTATTTGACATTTTTGCAGAATGGACTCTTTGAATCAGTCTTTTCAATTTAACGAATATCTTACTTCGAACACTAATAACAGGTTTTGTGGCGTCGGTGGCCTAGGGGTAAGGCTCTCGGACTCGCAACCGTAAGGTCGTGGGTTCGAATCCCCTCAAGGGCCCGACGTTGTGTCCTTGGGAAAAGGCACTTTACACGAATTTTCCTCACTTCACCCAGGTGGGAATGGGTACCCGGCTATAGACAGCGAAAGATCTTGTCAGTTTGTTAGTGTTTGAGCGCTTAATCGGCTGCTCGCACTGTATGCTTCCCGGGAAGCTGAGAATGTTTCGGAGTGTTCTATGGTCTGCTGGGGTAATAATATAGTGTAAAGCGCATAGAGCCTGCTGTTGAGCGGTGATATGCGCTATACAAATGCTATCTATTATTATTTTTCTTAAAGTGTATAAATTTATTTTCTTCACTCGAAAAATTCACATACCGGAGGGTTTTGTTTTTATTTTTCAACA